TATTTGACATCTTGATTACAAATATCACATTCATTTTTGGCGCTGGCGCTGATGGAAGACGCTGCGATCATCTGCGCTCTGCTAAGACTGAGCCTGACCTGCAGGAAATCACTAAGCTCCGTGTACAAGTTTCAGCGGATTTGGTACCTAGGGTGTTTTGGCGCCGGCGCCTGTGGCGCGGGCGCCAGGCAGTTTCAGGCTGAGCGGATGTGATATTCGTGTTCAGGAGGTCAAACTACCCCTGGGGACAAGTTTTCAGCGAATTCGGTGATTCTAGGTTTTTGGCGCCAGCGCCTGTGGCGCGGGCGCCAGGCACTTTCAGGCCAAGTGGATGTGATATTCGTGTTCAGGAGGTCGAATTACCCCTAGAACCCAACTTTCAGCCAAATCTGCCCCGTAGAAAAAGTCGATCAAGATCCGGCCTGTTTTCGGAAAATTGGGTAGTAATAGTTGAATAGTGCCAAACTTTCTTGATAATGTTCCGAACTTCACACCCCTTCTGCATTTTTCGACCACGTGAAGTTACGAATGAGCTCCCTTTGCGGTGTTTCTACGATATCTGAATTTGATATTCGCTTTTCGGAACCAGTTCTCTATCAACGCTATCATTTTCGTTTTTGAGCTTCAAAATAAAGGTGACGCAAATCAATGATGAGTTTACTTCGCAGAACGGGATAGAAGCAAGAAGTTTTGAGCGATATTTTGCCCAGTGAACACGTAGAAATCATAGCTGAGCAACAAAATGGATTGTCTGAATACCTCTGGTGGAGAAAGAAAGCCCACGAGTTTTAGTTTGTGACGGGACAAGTGAGCATTCACGGACCTTTACGGCGGACGGTAGTTCCAACCCTGATATCTTTGAAGTCTGTGGAACCAAAGCACTGGGAACCCAGAATGGTTGACGGTTGACTTGATCCTGAATTTTAGGGTCGAGTCATGGAAAACCACTGAAGAACCGTCGATTTGCCCAAACAGCGGATGACCGCGGCATTCCGGTACCATAGCCGCTGTCTCCGAAAACGTGCGCGTAGGGGATTCGGCACTAATAACTGCTAGGGCGGGGGGGGGGGGTATATGGCAAGAAAATCGTAATTCTCCGCGCCAGTGGGCGTCGCGTACAACGTCGCGCCCTCTAATGACGGTTTTCGGTAGTATTGTTCTAGCATAGACAGTGCATAACCAAAATAGACGTAAGTGTCTACCATGTCCTTGTCGGGCAAATTGCAGTAAACGTCGCGGCTCAATTGCACGCACGCGCGTGAAGCGACTACTAACGATTCTCTTGCCCCTCCCTCCTCTTTGAGGGGAGGGAGCACATCTGTAAGCTTTTCCAAACTGTTTCTTTTTTTTTCTTCGGTCTTCTCACAGTCGTGTCTCACCCTGTAGTTCCTGTATCCTGTCAAGAGCCTCTAAACTCCTGTCAAACTTGGCGTAATGGTAGTCACTTACGCCATTTCTCTATTTTTTCCCAGACCAGTGATTTTATAAAGTTCAAAAGGAGTTTATAAATTGCTGGACAGGTGATGAAAAGAGTCACAGGGTGTTGACAGGGTTATGCGCTATTCCAGTGTGTACAGTTTACAGGATTTGATACGCTGACACGCTTACAGGTGTCCTGCACCCCAACGTTACTAGCACCAGGACTTAGACACCAAAGCTTACTCTACAGACCACCTTGAATGGATGGCGATGTATGTCTCCACCTTATCGTGACAGCGATGACTGTGGTGGAGGGACAGCTGGTGCCGTCTAGAGGGGCATCTCGAGCATATTTCACGCAGGGCTTCACGTACCTTTTCATAAACTTTGATGGCACGGTAGTGGGCCCCATAGGCGCTTATCTTGCCCTACTCCGCTCTTTATTTGTAGACCCAGTGGAGTCTGAACGAACGAAAAGATGGGTGAGAGATACAAATAGATGTGCCACCCGCACACCCTATCAATGAAATTCTGAATTCAATTGTTCACATAAATTTTCAGAGAATCAAGTGCATCCGTCAGAAGTTCTTCTGTAAGTCAGAACTGACAGTAATGATTCCCGAGTTCCTTGCAAATTTTGCGATTCTTTTTTTTGTCGCGAACAAATAATAGCCCCACCTGCACAATTACGAGCACTTTGAATGCTCAGTCACAAAAGTAGTCCACAGGAAGCGCGCACAACATACCACTTAGCCTCTGCAAACGGTGAGCGATGCAACACATGATTTATTACCGCAAAAGACGTGCCCGTCCTCGCTTTTCACAAAAGAATGAAACTTATAAGAATCGTTACAGTATAGTAGTGTAACAACATTTGTCAATTCGCTGTGAGACGCCTGTCTCAGAAAAACTGGCTGACCAACGGAAAAATCAAGCAGTAAATAGCTCTCGATCTTCGTCAGCTTCTTATGCCTTGAGCTGCAGTTTTCATAGGAGAAATCGAAGGTGCAACGTTTGAGTAAGACATCAAGACACGACAATAACGGCTTTCAATCAGAAGCATCAAGTAGGGCGAACTGAATAGCGGATGCCTATTTTATGAAGTCAACGGAAACGTAATGAGCTGTGGCACATCCTACATTTGTTTAGCCAGCTACGGGAAGAAAGGCTCTTCCAGAAACTTCTAGCAATTTCTTCGACTTTTCCGTTGTAGACATATCACTAAGCATCTCTGCTACTTCTTACTTTGCTTACACATTTCGGATGCGTAACTGTAAATCTACAGGAACGCTAAGCAGGATCTACCGCCAAGACTGACAAACCGGTGACTCACTACTCCGACACAATCAACAGAGAAATCATACATATGCTTTCTGCATACGCCTTCCCACACAGCGGTCTTGGAAAAGTATAACTCCTTGATAAGGCTGAGCAAGCAGATGTGCTCTCACGGTTTAGAAAGGCCCAAGTTTATCGTATTCTTTGCTTGTCTCGCAATTCCGGGCGAAACGCCCTTTTTGGGGGGTTTGTGGGTAGCCCGATACTCATACATCGACCGTTCCCCATGTCTAAATAAGCCCTACGCTCACAACCCCACACCCCCTCTTTTGACGGTGAAATACGCTCCGTCCGTCGTTCACACATGAACAACTAAGTTTTTAAAGTTGTCCCCAACCTCTGCACCGAACTGCTATCGTATTTTAACGAAAACATTCGACAGGCGCTGTTCTTTGATGAGGGGGGGGGAATTTGGACACGCTCCTAACAAAGACTGATACCAACGATGTTACAAGCCATGTTGACACTGTTCATTTTTCATAGACTGATAAAGTAGAGCCGTTTACTTGATACCAGCTCCATTAAAGGCAGTTGGCACGATAAATCCCCAAGACGACTAGGATCAATACTCCTGGCAGGATAGAATTCCGCGACCCTGGGCAGGCGCTGCATAGCGGTTTCCCGAGGTGCCCTTATAAGGGCCCTATCAAGCCACAACTTTACGTCCCAAACGCCCGCCAGCCCCGCCGCCCATAAAATGGACGACCGTTCTTTGACGGTTCGTAATTCATTCATTTTTTGCGCCGCGCGCCCTTAAGCAAAATTTTAAAAAATGAAGCGAAGGTCGTATCCCGAATCGATTTACAAGTCAGGAGGAACGACAGGCTTTTCTTCGCAGGATTTTGACCGTTTCACTTGAGCCATTTCCCCACTATACAGCGCCCTACTAGCATTTTAGGCTAAGTAGGAAACCATCGTGCCAACTGCCTTTAATACGATACGGCACGTAATTGATAGGAACTACTGATAATAGTATTGATTGGTGCTGATATTGGTATTGGCAGTTGCTTTGTCGATTAGAGTTTTGACTTTCTTCGGTTCATGTTGCTCTTTTTTCACCGTTTTGGATGGCTCTGGGATCCAATTTTGAAAGATGTCAGTATTATTATGAAATTGAAGATGGAGAACTCGCTAGGCATAGGATGAAGTCCCACCAATGTGTGGGTGAACTGAATGCCTTGCTTGTGATTCGCTCTTTCCATGAGAAGTGGACAAGCTAACTCGGACTCCTTGAAGTCAGCTACTTTTTCTCGCAGATCTTGGACTACCCACTCTAAACAGAACGGGATTCTGCTTGTAGTCTACCGCTCCTTGTGGCGTGGGCATAAAAATGAAACGTTTTTATTGGCTCATCACCGTAGTGTACCAATCAATCATCAATATCAATATCAATCATATGGTTCGTACAACTCCTCTGTGAGAGTGTGCAGAGATGTCCCCCAACCCATGCCAAGGC